ATACTCTTCGAGAGGCCCATTGTCTGCCAACCCTGTATATGATCTTGGATACACTCTCCATTTAGACATACATAATTGTTTAGCTTGTTCACCCGTCTATCCGTCCCTATGGTTTTGGTTTTATATAAAGTTACTAGGTCATTCAGATGGCTAATAGTATAGGCAGACATGAAAATTTCAAGTATTTCTATCCTGTGACTTTTGCAAATCTCTGCCCTAAGGATATAATTGAAGAAATAGGCAATGGTTTATGCACAAAGTTGTTTCTAGCAGGTTGTTGGTAAAACGATTAGATGTAACAAATGCCCAGGAACAGGGAAGTGAGTCACTTATGATGCAGACTATATCCTTGGAACTAATGTTTGAGAAACCTGCTTGATGACTTAGAATTGCTTAGGATACTGGAGCAATAGATACAAAGTTTCTATCCTGAAGATTGTAATTCTGTTTAAATCTTTGGTATGCTGGCAGTGAACAGGTATTGCTTTCATGTTTTTAATGATGTCACTTTGAAAGCACAGAGAGGTTGGTTATGATGGAAAACCTCGGGTTCTGTCTGCTCCCACAGGTGGCTCCTTACATGTAGCTTCAAAATGGACAGGGCGGGGCACTTAAAAAATGAAACAAACAGTTGAATTCTTCAATGCCACACACACTGATTTTTGAAAGTTTTATTTCACAACAGGCATGGTTACAGAAGCTTCCTAGACATCCAAACAACTCACAGGATCAGTTTACTGGGATAAAGAAAGGGTTTGGTCTATAATCTCAGAGGGACAACCTCATTGACATAACATGGTTACAAAGATCCTTTTGTGTATGTTCCAGTTTGGTCAGTAGTCTGGGGTCTTCAGAGCTTGCAAATAGCCATCTAATACATGATGATTGGTCTCTCCTTTTATGGAGCAAAAGAGAATGATGGCAGTCAGGCTCAGAGAAGCAGCTCATCCGTGGGACTGCTAGCCCACGTGAGCCATGGCCTATCTACCCTGAGACCAGAAGAACCGCTCTGACCAGAGTCACGGTGCAAGGTCTTGGATAGAATGGGAGAACCAAGCTCAAATTCCTAAAAAAGGTCAGATCTCATGGACCAGTGGAGATTAGAGGAATCCTCAAGACTGTCACCCTTAGATACCTGTTGAACTTGGAATTGGAGCTGTTTGTGCAGGTCACCTTTCAGCCAAATAACAGATTGGCTTGTAAAGCAACAGTGTCATCCTTAAACAGTGAACTGTGTGAGACCAAACTGAACATTTACCCATGAGCAAAGATGAGAATGCAGGAGGGGAAGGGGCACTCGGTCAGTGGACACACAACAGGCAGAAGGGAAATCATGAAAACTGACAAACGCAGATTGTAACCAGTGAGACAGAGCAGTTTATACAGACGTCTTCAGAGGGGACCCTGTTTGGCTGTGCACACTGTCACCTAAAACAATTAAAAAAAAAAACAACCAAACTCATGCCATCGAGTCAATTCTGACTCATAGTGACCTCCTTTGGGTTTCTAAGGCAGTAAATCTTCACAGAAGTAGATTGCCTACTCTTTCTTCTGTGTGGAGTGGCTGGTGGATTTGAACCACCAGCCTCCTGGGTTAGCAGTCAAATAATAAAAGTTCCATTTCAGAGCAGGTACTGGGAGCCCCTGGCACTGCCAGTACAGGGTGGTGCTAGGTCAGCATCCCAAGGCTTTGCTGCGGAAAGGGGCTGGCATGTCCTGTTAAAAAGTTTTTGTTCAAGTTTGTTTTCATGAAGAATTTCGCACCCACCTCTCCACTTCATCACGATCAGCTCTTCCTATTACTTATGCTGAAGCAAACCTCATGTCTTTTTCTTTTTAAATACTTCACGGTTGCCATTAGTGTTTGAAGGTCTGTGCACCTGTATATAAAACTCTGCGCTCTACTTGGTTATATATAACCTGTACTTAGCATCTTTTGGGTTGGGGGAAAATAACTTGAAGGAAAATTTAAAACATTGAAAAGTGAAAAGAATAACTAATTCCCCTGTCCCTAGTCCTAGTGACCAGACACAAAGTCTTCCTTGTTTCATTTTTATCCTGCCTAGTGTTTTCCTACCGCATTCTTTTAAGTAGGGCCTATGTAGATAATTCCATCTGTGAGTGGTATGTCTAGCAAATCAGGACTCTTTAATAACAATCACAGTATTTTAAAAAAATCCTTAATATCAGCTAATCTGTGTTCACATTCCAAGATTTCCCTCCAGCGATTTTTTTTAAACAGTTATTTGATTCAGCATCCAGTACAAGAGCCACACCATCTTACTTGGTTGATACGCTTAAGTCTTTTTACTCTTAATTGTTGAAGAAGTCAGTGTTTAAATTTTTTACATTCTGGATTTTGCTGACTTGTACCCTCATGATGTCTGTTTAACATGTTCATTCTTTAAGTCCAGAAGTGTGATTATCATTTCTAGTCCTTATTACAAAGCTGTAGGCTGCCCCCAGCCAGGTCACCAACTGTGAAGCTCCTATTCAACCTGGCCACCTCCCAGGATCCCTGGGGTGCATTGCTGGACCAGTGATTTCACGGGGGGCACTGCATCTTTAACAGCATTAATGTTTTAAATACATGGAATGTTCACGTGGCTCAGAATTTGAGAGGCATTTCTGAAAGTCGCCTTCTTCAGCATTTGGCTATTTTCACAGGCAACCTGTTGTGATGTTTCTGTTTCCTTTAGTGTTGATGGGGACACCAGACAGTGCATGGGTGTGCATGCACGCACGTCCCTTTCTCACACAAATGGTTGCTACTCTATACAGGGCTTTTTTGTGTTGCCTCTGCAGTGTTTCTTGAGACTAACCCATCTGTACGTAGCTTGATCATGTTCTCTCCTCTGGCTACGTGTGCATTTTACGTGGCCAGTCGTCTGTCGGGGCTGTGGTGCTGCAGAGAATAGCGGTGCATATTGGCACCTGTGTGCCTCTGCCTAGGAAAGTCCCAGAGCTGGAGCTGTGGGGTGAGGAAGGTCTCTGCATTTGTCATTTCGACAGCAGAGGGGCTAGTTACCAAACTCCCGGGTCTGTGAAAAGGTTTCTCTGCAGGCCTTTATTTCCAGCCTCTACCCTCAGCCTGAACCTGATGCAGGGACCTCTGGTACTTCATCACCCGCAAGTGCACCGCCTCTTACTTAGGAAAAGATGTCCTCGGCACACCATTGGCTGCGCCCAGCCTGACCACACCAGGCCAGCCACAGTTTCTTGAGAATGGTTTGTGGTGTGTTTATGACAAGTGTCCAAAGCAGCAGGTTGTGTCAGCTGATTCCAGACTGCTTTTAATGTGCCAGATGAAACCAGTTTTGATTATCCCTCGCAGATGTGCAGTATGTAGTCATATACCTGCTTTGGAGTCTCGGTGTGGCTCAGTGGTGAAATGCTCGGCTACCAACTGCAAGTTGGTGGTTTGAACCCACCAGCTATTCTTCAGGAGAGAGATGAGGCAGTTTGCTTCTGTAGAAATGAACAGCCTTGGAAACCCTATATGCAGTTTTACTCTGTCCTCTAGAGTCTCTGCGAGTCAGAATGGACTCTATGGCCGTGGGTTTGGTTTGTTTTTTGTTTTGGTGTACTCACTTATACCAGGCTGGCGGGAGGACGGAAAATCAGGCTTTGCTGCCGGACCACAGGGTCCTTAAATCCAGACTCCATGTGTCGTCTAGAAGCTGTTCCCCAGTTTCTTCAACCAGAAGGGAAGCCTTCTGCCTGGGGATTCTGGCAGCAAGGGCGCCTCTCAGGCTCCCTGGTCATTGCTGCTGGGCAGGGACCAGTGCCAGATGACCATGTGTGTGGAGGGAGATCATCCAGAATGGCCATTCTGGGCCACGCTGAAAGCTAGACTGGCAGCTTATGCGGCAGGTGCCAGCAGCCTTTCAGCCACCCACCAGCCACATTTCACAGACTTTACGCTGCTGCTACTAAGCACTGCTGGGACCCTAATTTTTGGACTCAAACTTGCATCTTTTTTATAATTTAAACCTCATTTTTTTTGGTTTGGGAACCAATTGAATTAGAAGCACGTTGATGTGAAGAGAGGGCAGAGCCACCCTTGAAAGGATGTGACGGTTAAACATTGCAGTTCTCTGTGTGGAGTTAGTTTTCGTTTCAAGTTATCAGACATCTGAGTCAGTAGCCAGTTTGACTTCTGCTGAAAATGCAGATAGTTGCATTGGTTCATAAAGAAAGGCCACAAAGTGTCAGGTATCCATCCCTTGCTTGACCCCAGTCAGCGCATCCCTGGTTGGTCAGTCTGTCTGGCAGTCAGTCAGATTATGCTGCCTGGGTGATGACTCAGGCTGGTCTGTCAGGGTGTTGTCCTGGGGTGAAGGCAGGTGGACACAGTGGGTGTCAACAGTTGGTAACCTCATTGTCTTTCCAGGAGTTTCTGCCTGTGCGAGTATACGTAGACAGACATGTTACTTTCCCAGTTGATTGGTTGGAACACAGTGAAACGCTTACAGCAGGCATTTGGGTGACCGATGACAGATGCAGTCCTGTGTTCCACGCCCCCAGAGCATGTGTAACTGGGCCTCTTTCTAGTGTCCTGGGGGCTGGGTGGCATCTGAGAGCCTCTTCCCCTGCCTTGGCTGACTGCTGGATGTGTGTTTGGGGAAAGTATTTGTGTTTTCTGAAGCCACCCTGTAAACCTGTCCAGTATCTGGCTTCCTGGCCTGAATCACAGTCTGGTGGGTCACTGTCCCCCAGCTTTCTGAATCTCTGTCCACAGAGAGGACAGGTTGTTGCCATCACTTGTTCTTTGGCCTCATTTTCTTCTGTCGTCTCATCTCGCCTCAGAGATCTTTTCTGTATGTTTTGGTGGTAGATGGTGCTGTTGAATTCACCTGAATTGTTTAAAATAATGCCGACATTAGCAAGCTAATTGACGTAACCTCGGGTGCCTGTCATTACTGGTGACAGGCCACCCCTTTTGCTTGTTGGGAAGTGACGTCCTGCCTGTTTTCTCTGTCTGTGTATGTATCTGGAGCTTTTGCCTAGTTAGGCATATGCGGCGACTTAAAAATTTATTCCTTACCATTTCTTGCCACCTCTTTACCGAGGAAGCAGGTCTCCGTGTCGGTCTCTTTGGGTGACTAGTAATCCACTTCCCTGCAGCTTTGACAGCAAGCTATTGGAACGTATTCCCAGCTCTCAGTAACATTTGTTCTGTTGTTTTGTTTTTGAGGTGGAAGGGGGGACTCTGCTCTTAGGACGGGAGGGGATAACATGTGCGTGGCACAGAGACCAGTGAGTACCTCCTGTATCTCCCACCAGTCTTCAGTAGAGGGCCTTGTCACTAGCTTCCCTTTGGAGAGAGCACTGTCGCTAGGTCCATGGGTTTGTTCTCTCACTTTTCCTGACAGTGATATTGAGGGTTGGGGGTTGTCCTTTTGTGAATTTTGGAATTCAATGTGTAAATCAGATGAGACCATGCTCTGGACAGCTGGTCGGATTAACCAGCCCATTCTGACTTCCCCTGGTGTGGACGTGTTGGCTGTAGTGTAGTCTGAGATCTCATTGAACCTACCAGTTCTAAGGCACCATCAGGCCTGTACTTCCCATCCCATTGATGGGCTCGAGGTTACAGCTCTCTGCTCTTCCTGCCCAGGCGATGGACCACCTGGAGTCATTCATTGCGGAGTGTGACCGCAGAACGGAGCTTGCCAAGAAGCGGCTAGCAGAGACCCAGGAGGAGATCAGTGCTGAGGTGTCGGCCAAGGTGAGCCTGGGCAAGTCTGCCCTGAGCGAAAAGGGGCCCTAAGCGACAAGGGGTGCAGGCGGCTGTTAGGCCCTGTCAGTGCAACAGGGTGTCCATGAAGGATGAGCTCACTGCCCTGGGTGCTCCCACTACAGGGAGGCTATGGCGTAGTGGCCACAGGGTGGCTGGCTTCGCTGCTTTGCCTTCCATCCTGGGGGTTGGGGTTCCTCCTCTCACTTTCAGTGTTGTAAAGGTGCTGCTTTGTAGGACATGTGTGGTTGCTGGTCGGACTGAAGGTGCTGAATGGATCCCTCACGGTAAAGCCCCGTCATGAGGGCATGTCGCAGCATAGGGAGCAGCTTGTGCAGCAGCCGGCGGCACGGGCCTGGGCCCCACGGAGTCAGGGGCAGTGTGATGTGGTCCAGGCCACAGCGATGGCAGTGACGATTTTAAATTTGAAAACACGGATGTGATCCAGCACGGATCTTGGGCCTTTTTTTGCATTAAAGCCTTGTTTTCAGGCGTCTGCATATCTGATTCATTCTCTTCTCCTCTCAGGCAGAAAAAGTCCACGAGTTGAATGAAGAAATAGGAAAGCTGCTTGCTAAAGCCGAGCAGCTGGGTGCAGAGGGGAATGTGGACGAATCCCAGAAGACCCTCATGGAGGTGGAGAAAGTCCGTACAAAGAAGAAAGAAGCGGAGGTCTGTGGGGAGACCTCCTCAGTGTGGGGAGGGGGACTGCTGAGAGAGTGGGGCAGCCTTGCCGTCTCTGAGGGCAGCACCCTACTGTAGAGGACACGTACAACCTACCTGCCGTGAGCTCCAGGGGGATCGGTGGTGTCTGTGTGTGTCTCTCTTGAGTCCCTCTTCTTCTCTGGGATGTTGGTGGCTGTAGTTTCTGTTTAGCTCGTATGGCTGGGTAGACTTGGAGGCCCTGGTGGTGCAATGGTTAAGCGCTCAGTTGCAAATGGAAAAGGTGGTGGTTTGACTCTACTGGCTGCTCCAGGGGAGAAAGATGAGGGAGTCTGCTTCTGTGAGATGACAGCCTTGGAAACCCTCTGGGCAGCTCTCTTCTGTTCTGCAGGGTCATTGTAAGTTGAGGTTGATTGACGAGTAGGCGGGGTTTTGTGAACATACCAGGTGCTGCTCTGGTGTGAGAGATGCTTCTCTAGGGACACTGTGCTTGGGGGTTGAGTAGGGGAGTGCAGACAAGAAAGGGCAAACGTGAAGATTTGTTCAAACAAAGCTAAGTGCTCAGTGAGGTGGGACTCTTGTTTAAGAGGGGCTTTGGGTCATGGAGTACGGGGTCCTGGCCATATCTGTCTGGCCATCATACCCCTGAGTCAGTCAGCGCATAGGTCTGGCACTGTTCAGGCTCAGCCATGGTTGATAAAGTAGAGTCAGTGAAGGGGTTGGAGCTTGTGGGTGTCAGAGGCCACTGAGACTCAGTCACTTGAGACGGAGTGATGGACCTTGCAAGTGAGCCCACAGCTCATCTTCTTTCAGAAGTTGGGGTGAGCAGAGCAAGGTTGGTACCCAACTAGCACTTTAGAGCCCTAGTGGGCTGGCATCCCGTTATTGACTTCCCTAGATGAGATCTGTTCTTAACTCTGATAACGTGAAGGAGGTGGAAGAAGAAAGCAGCTCACAACGAGATGGTCTGTCTGTGTAGTGAAGGCCTGTAGATGTCCCCTCACTGAGGCACTGACCTTGCCCCATTCTTGGCAGAAGCGCTGGGCCATGTGGCTGCAGAGGCAACATTTGTGACTCAGCATCCTGAGTGACACTGCCAAAGTCCTGTGACTTTCCAAAGGGTGAAGTCCCTTGTTTTACACGGTCGTTCCATTTTGGTGACATTGGGTGGGTATTTCAGTTCTGAAAAAAAACCTTTAGTGTGTGTGTATGTGTCAGTCCGACTTCACAGGGTTAATGATGTAGGTGTGGTGTTAGGTACATAGAGGCCAGCCCAGTGTGGGATGAAGTTTTCGTGTGTTGCCTTCTATCCCTGTTCCTTAAGGTGCTGCAGGAGCTGGTGTTCGGTCTGCTCTCAGTTGCAGGCTGCGTATGTAGTAGTCAGAAGGTGTCTCCCCTTAGCCTTTTGAGGCTTTTAGAGGGGTTCAGAAGCTAGAGATGTGATTACACTGCCATTGGAAGAACAGGAGCCCTGGACGATAATTTCTAGTTACTCGGATGGTACATTCGCAGAAAAGATTGAGAAGCTATTTAATTTTTCATTCATTTTTTTATTTTGGGGTAATTGTTGATTCTCTACCCATTCAAAGTCACAACCAGGACGTTGACAGTCATGTGCTCATGAAAGACCCTTCCATCCGAGGTAATGGCCACACCCACTTCTCAGATCCCCAAACCCTCTAGTTTGTCTGGCTCCATGATTTATTCCAGGAATCAGTGGAATCTTGCAGTTTGTGTGGCCTTTCATTGTCGTCTGTTGTCACGCAACAGAATCAGAGACTTTATTTTGAAAGGTAACAGAGAGTGGCGTTTAACGTTTTAAAATCACAGGAAGGGCGGCTCATCAGTGTTTGAGATCCTGCACTTCACAGTGAGGGTCCGGGTCCTGCTCTGTCCCATCGCTCTCTGGTGGCTGCGTGCTTCAGGTGCACCTTTCAGCTCACGTTTTATACTCAGTGCACATGCGTATCCACAAGCGATATAAATTCATACCGGGTGCATCAAGCTTTTCACCACCCCACACAGCTGCAGATGTACGTGAGTGTGTACACACATATGCATGGGCATTTCACAGTCCTGCGTCTCACGTTTTACTCGGCATTCTTGGGAGATTTCCTCATGCTGCTGTGTGATTAGGTGCCTGCTCAGTCATCTTACTGCTGATGTATTATTGTTGTGTGGTGTTGAGTTGGTCAATGTGCTAGGCAACTCCATGGGACAGTGGAGAGCTGCCCCATAGGGTTTCTTAGGCTGAAATCTCTGCAGAAGGTGATGCAGGTCTTTTCTTCCACGGAGTGGCTGGAGGGTTCAGACACCACCAACTTTTTGGGTAGCAGCCGAATGCTTAACCTTGCACCACAAGGGTCCTTAATTTCACTGCAGTGGAATTCTGCTTTGTGAATATATGACTGTGCACTGGTGGTTTTCTGTGTGCTTTGTCTTTTTTCACCCTTGGAAGCAGTTGTGCAGCGAGCATCCTGACCTCTGTTGGTGTGTGATCAGGGGGCTCCTAGACAAACGCCTTGAAGGGGAGCAGCAGCCATGTGTTTCCCGTGCTCACAGATTCAACAGGGAAACTGTGGTTTTAGATGTGTGGGTGGATGGGAAGTTACTCACACCAGCTCTTCCTTTAATTTTGGTTTTTCATGCTGATGAAAACCTTTTATTCCTCTCCCTTGACAGCTGACATCTCAAGGAGCCTTTGCTTTGTCAGTCCTCAGTTGAGGTCAAAGCTAATGTTTTCCAGCTGTAGTCTCTGGGATAATATAAGGCACTCTTAATTTAATGATGGCAGCTCTTCCTTTGGATGAGTGGGTGACTGTGCCCTGCGATTGTTCCGTGTGGATCTGGAAGGGGCCTTTTCGATGGGTCACAAGCTGCGGAGTTCGGGCCTCTGGTCTCTTGCCGCTGTGCAGTGATGAGCCTTGAGGCTACGTCACTCCCCGAGATTGAACTTGGACTCCACAGAGATGTTTGTTCCATTCTGCTGGCATACTGTTTTCTCTGAAGATAATGCTAGTGCATCTGTCCTTCACCCTGTGGAGTAGTTTCCTGGCAGTGGCTGGCCATGTGGCTGTTGGAGAGCCTGTTGTTGGAAGCTACTCCCTGTGCTATGGGCCTGGTCCTTGGGAAACTTGGGCAACACCCAGGATCTCTGCCAGCTCCTCTGGAAGAGACAGGTTCCTGCTTGTCTCTCTCTCTTTTTTTTTTTTTTTTTAAATTTTATTTTGATTTGGGTGAAGATTTACAGAGTAAATTCACTTTTCATGCAGCAGTTCACATACACTTTGTCTCATGTCATTGACCAAAATTTACAATGCAACAGCTCCCCTCCCACTTCCTCCCCATAGTTACCTCTTCCCAGTGTCCATCCCTCCATACTCTTCTGCACCCTGAGCTGTCTCCCTGTGCATAAGCAGCCCTTCCTTCTCCCATGATTGTTCTCTCCAGGGTGTGTGTCTACTTGAGGTAAATGTTTAACTCACTTGCCTGTTCTTTGTTTGGCTGGAAACCACAGGTGTGGGTTCATTTCCAGACCTGAAGGGCAGCTAGGGGCCATAGTGGTTTCACCAGGCTCTATCCTGCTTGTCTCTTAAGAACATTCCTTGCTGCTACAAAGTCATGTTAACTTATTTAAAAGTCATTTTTCCAACTGCTCCAGATAGTCCCGTCAAGTTGGGTAAGTGGCAGCCAGTTCTTCATGACTCACGTGTATCTTTCTGTTCCCATTCTCCAGGAAGAGTACAGAAATTCCATGCCTGCATCCAGTTTTCAGCAGCAGAAGCTGCGTGTCTGCGAGGTCTGCTCAGCCTACCTTGGTCTCCATGACAATGACCGACGTCTTGCAGACCACTTTGGGGGCAAGTTACACTTGGGGTTCATTCAGATCCGGGAGAAGCTGGACCAGCTTAGGGTAAGATCACATGTTCTGTTACGGAGGAACCCAAGAGGTCTACCTGGCTTCCCCATCTCTAACTCTAGAATGCCCTGTGTTCTAACTCTCTAACATGCCATGAGTTTTGTACTGGAAAACTCAGATCACACCACTGTGTTCACAAGAGACCATGGCATCTCGTTGAATGTGCACCTCCTTGTTGGTAGAAAAAAATGACAGCTTCAGTCCCAGGCACCTGTAATCAGAGGCAGGGAGGGACCAGTGGACCCCAGTCTCTCCTTGGACAGCAGCAGGTATTAGAGTGGTGGCTGGACGGCAGACAACACACTCAAGCCTCTCGGAGGCTCCTTGTCTCTTAGGGTGAGGGGAGTCCTACACTCCCCTCCCCACCCAACCCCCAGCCCAGACAGCCTGTTTCTCCCACACTTCCCTTAGTTGGGGAGCTCTGGTGGCATAGTGCTTAAGGCGTTTGACTGCTAACCAGAAGTCTGGAAGTTCAAACCCACCGACTCCTTGGGAGTGTGTCCTCCCGGGTGAGCAGGAGGATATCCGAAGTGATACCGCCTCGGAAACCCAAGGAGGGGCTGCTATGAGTCAGGTCTGATGCGATGGCAGAGAGTTTGGTTTGGGGTTTGGTTTCCTTGGTTGCTGCTGTTGAATGCCTTGAGTCATTTCCAACTTGAGATGACCCCTATGACAGTAGAATTGCCTCATAGAGTTTCCTAGGCTGTGACCTTCACAGGAGCAGATTGTCAGGTCTCTCCCACCGAAGTGCTGGGTGGATTCAAATGCAGACTTTTTGGTTGATGCTGCCAGGGCTCCTGGGTTAGGCTCTGAAAGCTTGGAATCCTACATGTGGAAAAGTAAGGTTGAGCGTGTTTGAGATACTTGGAACTCCACCTTTTTGGGGAGCAGGTAGGCTTCCTTGCAAATATACAGACACACACACAGACTGTCCACAGCCCAGGGCCTCTGCACACCCAAGAAGGGGCCGCTCACTAGAGACACAGGGCTGTGGCAGGGGGAGGGGCATGGGTACCAGGGGCAGACATGTGTGACTCGCCAGGTGGAGAGAGGGAGGAGGCAGCGAGAGCCCCCACAGAATTAATTCTGAGAGGTGGTATATTCTTTCACCAGTAAGTTGGCATTTTTCTTTATAAGTTTATCACTAAAAAAGTGTAAAATCATTTCATGTTTTTCCAATAGAATATAAACAATACTGTAGTTTCATACATTCTGTCATCTCTGTTGAAGTGTTCCTCTTTAGCAGTTGGAAAATTTATATTCTTCTAAATTACATCTCTATTTCTTGTCACCTCAGAATGTTGTCCTAATGTAATCGTTTTATGCTTCAAAGCATTTTGTTATTTTTCTTAACATGTGTTTCTGCATCAGAAATTGGAATGTTGTCGTTAGTTGTTGTTAAGTGCTGTCGAGTCGTTTCCGACTCGTAGCGACCCCATGCACAGCAGAATGAAACACTGCCCGATCCCGCGCCAGCCCCACAATCCCTGCTATACTTGAGCCCATCATCGCAGCCACCGTATCAATCCATCTCCTTGAAGGCCTCCCCCTCTTTCGTTGACCCTCCACCCTACCAAGCATGACATCCTTCTCCAGGGAATGGAGAACATGACCTACAACATGACCAAAATAGCTGAGACGAAGTCTGGCCATTCTTGCTTCCAAGGAGCATTAGGGCTGCGCTTCCTCCAGGACAGATCTGTTAGTTCTTTTAGCAGTCCACGGTACTTTCAGCATTCTTCGCCAGCACCACAACTCAAAAGCATCAACTCTTCTTCGGTCTTCCTTATTCATTGTCCAGCTCTCACATGCATACCAGGCGATTGGAAATATCATGGCTTGTGTCAGGCGCACCTTAGTCCTCAAGGAGATATCCTTGCTCCTCAGCACTTGAAACAGTTCCTTCGCAGTTGACTTTCCCAATGCTACATGTCGTAATTGGAATGTATTGAATTTAAAAAAAAAAATCTTACTTTATTTTTTTTTTTTTTTTTTTAATTGGAATGTATTGAATTAAAAAAAAAAATAAGATTTGAATATTGAAAAAAGTAAGTGCTTAATCTAGAAATCGAGGATTTTAGTTTTTTGTGGCTAGGGGAGGGTATTAAACATCACAGATGTGATTTGTAAACTAGCAGCACAACGCACTGGGAGTGTGTCTGGAGGACAAGGTGGGTGGCTGGGCCTTCTGGCCTGAAGTAGCATTGGGGCTACACACATCAGTCCTGTTCCGAGACATTTGCATTGGAGGGCCACACACAGGTCAGATTTGAGTAAGGCCTTTCTTCTGTCGGGTGGAAGGGAAATGGGCTGAGGATGGAAAGGAGACAGGGCCTAGAGCACAGGCCTGTGTGGTGGTCTTTTAGGAAGGAGCACGTGGGGACACCAGATTCCTCGGAAGCACTGCCCCTTGTGTGCCCCGATCAGGTGAGGGTTTGGCGGTGGAGGCGGGAAGGGCCCTGGAGGTGTCTTGAAAAGAAAGACTTCTCTCAGGCCCTGCTAGCTCACTTACCTGAGAGGACACACTCCACCACAGGAAGCATTTAGAAGAATCCTCTTGTTCTCATGTCCTCTCTGATAGCTTGGAGTCCTGAGGGCGGGGCTGTGCTGAGTCCCTGTTTGTCAGTGCAAGGCCCTCCTGCCTCCCTGTTGTTCTCCTTCCTCTTGACTCAAGAGCAGTGGAAGTTGCTGGGTTTTGAAGGTGGTACTGTGGGTTCATGGCACCCCTTGGCCTGCTGGCCCCACCAAGGGTCTAAACCAGCAGGAGCTTCGCCACAGCACCCACCTGTGTTTTGATTCAGCATACCTGTTACATTTTAGCACAAAGCCTGTGGGGTCCTTTGGGTAGTAAACCAGCTTTCTGGGTTGCTTCTGTGATCTACAAGTGGGGTACCTCTGTGCACATGTACTTTGTCCCTGAGTTTATAAAGCGGGGTGATGAGGCGTGTTTGCTTTTACTGTTGATGGCAGTGAATGAGTGAAGTAACTCTGGTTTGTAAGTTCTCTGTGCTAAGCTGTGTTCTGACCTCATCTTCTCAACTTCTCATTTATGTAGAAAACTGTGGCTGAGAAGCAGGAGAAGAGAAACCAGGATCGCTTGAGGAGGAGAGAGGAGCGAGAGCGGGAGGAGCGGCTGAGCAGACGGTGAGCATCGCTGATGGACGCTGCCCTGCGGTAGGGGTCTGCCTGCGCCGTGGCCACAGAGCTGCTCAGAAGAGCGCTCAGATGCCTAAGAAAGCAAGCTGTTGTGGTGACTGACGAGTGGTGACCCAGTGTGTGTCGAGTACAGCTGCTCCATCAGGTTCTCCAGACTGTGTTTCCAGAAACTGGTCACCAGGCCTTTCTTCGGGGCACCTTTGTGGGTTCGGTTAGCAGTGGGGTGTGTTCCCTGTCGGCGCCACCCGGGGCTCCGTTAAATGCCTAAACATCCAGTGAGAGAAAAACAATACAAGGCATGGTTAATGGACAGGATGCCTGGCTGATCCCATACCTGAGCGCATGCTGCTCTGTGCAGGCGGGAGAGGGCACTCGTCATAGGAACGTGTCTGCGCCACAGGCAGACTGGGTGAAGTGTACACTGCCCAGGGTGACGTTCCCCAGGGGCTGCAGGGGTGTGGCCCGTCCCTCAGAGCCCGAGTGACGGGTGTTTTCCCCTTTCCAGGTCTGGATCAAGGACCAGAGACCGCAAGAGGTAGGTGGTTTCCAGAGTAACTTTCCCAGTCATGAGTGTTTTCCTTACTACTAAGTGGCTTGTTGTTGTTATGTGTCATCGAGTCAGACCTGACTCATAGCAACCCCTCCTTGGATTTCTGAGGAGGTATCACTATAGAAGTAAATTGCCCCATTTTCCTTCTGAGGAGTGGCTGGTGGGTTTGAACCACCAGCCTTCTGGTTAGCAGTCAGGTGCCTTAGGCACGACGCTACCAGAGCTCCTGAGTGGCATTTGGCAGGTAGGGCAGAGAGCAACATTGAGACAAAGGCCCTCTGGTCTTTGGTGGGGGGGGTGGACTGGACCAGTGAGCACAGAGGAGGAGGGTCATTAAGCCGGGGGCAGGGCGATGGTGGCTGGGACCCCGCAGGGTTCCCTGGTGCAAACGGCTTCATTGGGTGGCAGTGGGGTGGGTCTGCTAGGCAGTGACAGGAATACTTGGAGCCCAAGTTTTAGATGCCAGGGCAAGGGGAAACGGCACTGAGAGAAGAGGGCATCCGGGCAAGGCCACCTGGCTTCTGGAGAGGGGTGTCTGGGGGGCGGTGGGTGTGACAGGCCTGCAGGGTGCTGCAGGACTTCTCTGCCTCTACCAGGTCACGCTCGCGAGACCGGCGTCGGAGGCGCTCGAGATCGGCCTCCCGCGAGCGGCGGAAGTTGTCCCGGTCCCGGTCCCGAGACAGATACCGGCGCCACCGGAGCCGCTCCCGGAGCCACAGCCGGGGCCATCGCCGGGCCTCCAGGGACCGGAGCTCGCGGCACAAGTAACTACCCGCCTCCCTGGCTGCTGCCGCAGGAGCGATCCCTCTGCTCCTGGGTTTGCTGGGCTCTCAGCAGGCCTGTAGCCACGCCTGGTCTGCTAGGGATGGGGCTGGCCTCCGGGCTGTGTGGAAGAGCTCGCTCCCCACACACAGCGACACTGTCGCGCCCCGACGTGTTAGCTCCGCTCCCTGAGGCAAGCAGACACGGCCCCACTCAGCCCCACTGTCGGCGTTCTCACGTGTGTGGAGTGGGTCACACTACCTGTGCGTAGTTGCCTCACGTTCTCCTGTGCTCCCTTACATCTTAGTCAGCGATTCTGGTATTAAAGTCTCTTCGAACCTCACTTTTCAGTGGGTTGCATGAGTCGGCTGGTGCCCTGACCTACACAGCCCCTGGGGATGTGGTAGACGCTTGCCTTCGCCATCCAGGGTTGAGGGCTGACTTGTTGGCACCTGAGCCTCTGGTTCCCCTCCCCAGGTTCTCCCGAGAGCGAGCTTCAAGAGAGGAGGAGTCCTGGGAGCGAGGGCGGAACGAAAGGGGCACCACGGACTGGAGGCTCGAGGGCTCCAACGGGAAGGTGGCCTTGCGGAGGTCGGAGGAAAAGGAGGCCGGCGAGATCTGAGCCGCTCGGCACGCTGTACATAGTCTGACGAACGTCCGACAGCCCAGAGTCACCCTCTGTCTGCTGGCTGCTGCGTACCTTTTGTAGCGTCAACTTTGTATTGTGTGGGAGCTAGCTGTGACTTTGTAGAGATGTACAGAGTTGCTTCTGTGTTTGAGATTGTGTTGAGTAGGAATAAATAAACCCAACGGCTGCCTTGTTTCCCACCCACCCGTGGTGGGGTCTCGGCTCTTCCCTCTGCGCTTGGAGACCTCGCCGAGAAGGCCGGGGCACACAGTAGCACTGCCCTTCCTTCCCGGGGTGGGTGCTCCCTCCACTTTTCTGGAGTGTTACTGTCTGGGCCTGCGTTTGCAGTGATCATGTCATGAAGGTGGTACCAGCCTGACCATTCGTGGTGTTTGCAGGCCTAGGGGTACCCCCTTGGTCTAGCTGGTTTGGGGCCATGTGAGGGCACTGCTGCAGATCTGTGACAAACAGTTTCCCACTGTGGCCTGTTGTCCTGCCCCAGGAACATGCGCTCCCTCAAAAAACATTACCCCCCTCAGGGCTAGCCAGCTATAGGGCCTTCCCTGAGCAGCCCTGGCCCAGCCTCACCGAGAAGGGGGGCTACAAAGGGGGCCGTGGACCAGAGCACTTTGGTCCAGGTGATTTGCAGGTGTGATTTTTTCCTTTTTTTTTTTTAAACTGTCATCTTGCTTAAGAGTTGGATCTTGGAATACAGGGTTTGCTGCTCCTGCTGGCATCGCGTCCAAGGGTCTGGCCTTGTGTTTCTGTCTCTCTCCCCGGCCTGTGAGGTGTGAGACCACCGCCCTCCACCCCTCAGAGCTGCCACTGCTGAGTGGTTTATACCCTTTCTATCTGGATGTTGATTTTGGGGTGTGGACAGTCAGCGGTGTATCTCTCTCTGTGTGTTCTGTCCACGTGGGCTGTAACCGGTCCCCACCCCAGTGCTCTCTGTCCTTGGCTGTCGTTCACCCCAGGGGAAGGTTGTGGCCATGGAGAGCCCTTGTGAACCCCCCCCCCCCCCCTCCAAAGGAACCACGAGCAGCAGGTCCTGGCCTCAGAAGACCGGGGTCTCCCCCCCAGTGTTCCCTTAGTGCAGTCAGTCCTGACTAGTTCGACCTCAGTGCTAGTAACTCCCTGAGGGTGAGTCCTGTGGGGCCCTCCACCCAGGGGACAGCCCAGGCTGGGGCAGAACTGAAAGGCCCTGGTGTGAATGACAGCCCATGGAGCTCACAGAGGCAGTGGGGAAGGTGCAAGCTGGAGGAAGCCAGGTAGGTCAAGGAAAGTCCTGGATGTGGAGGGACCAAGAGGGGGAAGACTGAGGTAGCTGGTTCCTGGTTCTTGGTGAGTGGGCAGCGGGTGCAGAGGTACAGTCCTGACTAGGACCCCTACCCAGAGGGCCCTGCCCCACCTAAGAACCACAGTCCTCCACAAGGAATCCCAAACCAAGAAGGGACATGGGTCAAGGGGTGAGTACTTACACAAGTAGGGGCATGGGAGCTGACAGGCTGGGTGCCTGCTGTGCAGATGTGGGGTTTAAGCCATGAAGGAGAAAGTGTGGGTGGTTAATGGGCTGTGATGGCTCCAGAGGCCAAGGCTGGAATGGCTAGTGGGTCCCCACACTGCAGTGGCCTGCTGGACACCAGCAGAGAGCCATGGGACACACGGGGCCCCAGTAGCTACTGGAGGGATCAGATAAGGACGTTGACCTGGCAGCCACCTGTGGGCAGCTCGACAAGTACCAGGCCCCCTTGAGCTGGAAACCAAAGCAGCCCTGCTGTCGGCTCAGAACGGAAGGCTCCCTCAACCCCTGGCCTTGGCCTAGGTGCCAAGGGCCCCTTGAGGGACAACTGTGAACAGGCGCTGCCCCAGTGAGACGTCTTCCTGTTGCCAGCCAGCCTGTCCTGAGCCCCAAGGTACCCTGCCATCCCCAAGCCATGCCAAGATGGGTAGCATCTGCCAGCTGTGTGCTCAGATGTCTGTCACCCACGGAGCCAGGCTAACACACCCTTGGGAAGCCCAGCCCAGGCCTGGAATTTGCCCCCAGTGCTTGCCTTTTTGGTGGGAGGCAGTCTATCAATGACAAGGCCACTGGCAAGTTTCAGGGGATCAGCACAGGGGTGCCACCAGAGCCCATCGAGGAGGGGATCCTTCTTTAATTTTGTGGGGTGCCAGCTGGAGGTGCTGGCGTGCTGGCTGGCCTGGCATCTCCCACCACGTGGCCTGTGGCTGTGGAAGGAGCTCCTGGCAGGGACAGAGCTGGGAGATCCAGGGTTGATCGTGGAGCGGGCACAACCCAGGGCAGATGGTGGCAACAGTTGCACCTCCACACATGGGGTGCCCCATGGGGCGCACACAGATGTTCCACAGGGGCTCAACTTGGGTTTTCTGTCCTCTGAGCCTCATTGCAGATGTTTGTTGGCTGTGGGGCTGAGTCTGTCCTTCCCACTGTTATTTTCTGTGGGGTTATCTGACTTCAAAAGAAAGGGGGGAGTGGGATTTGGGAGTCCGGCTTGTATAGTAGGGGCAGTAATCTTTGGTCTGCCGAATGTGGGAGACAGAAATCTGTCACTGTTAACTTCTTACCCCTCTACCCCACACTGAAATGTTTTTTCTCTTTACAAAGTCCCATCTGGCTGCTTTTACCCAGTGTTATTTGTAGGTACCATTTCTTGTTACGTGCCATCGAGTCATTCCGGACTCGGCGACCCCGCCTTGGGTTTCTGAGGCAGTATCACTACGGAAGTAGATTGCCCTGTACCATTTCTTAAAAGCCTCTAAATGTGCCTCTGTGTGTGCTTCTGTGTGAAAAAGAGACTTTGTATGTGTCACATGTGACCTTTCTGTACCTCAGTCTCCCTCTGTGGGCAGTGGGAATTAAAGGAGTGAGTAACTCTTGAGCCTGAGATGCAGGAAGTGGATCCTGCATTGCTCTGATTGGTTTTATGGGGGCGCCGGAATTTACCAAGAGACATTGGCCCCTTCTCCTGAGGAGGGCGGGGTGCTGGGGCTAGACCTGCATTCCTCCACCACAGTCTGTCAAGGAGGGGCTGTCTCCCCAGGCTTTCCCATCCCCCTAAACCCCCAGTACGGGTCACTCTTAGCAGGCTGGGCCCCCTGCAGTGGCGGGCGGCAGAGAGGCAGTTCCACAGCGCGCCGGCAGGGGGCGCGGCTCCCTAATGTTCACGGAGGCGTGCACCCACGGAGGCGTGGTCATGGCAAGCGCTGCTCAGCCGGCTTGGAGGCCCTACCACGTTGCTCCCCAGGGACTGTCGGGTGGAAGTTACGGGACACAGCATTTGGGGCCGCGCCCCGTTCCTGTGCCCACCCCGTGCCCCATCCAGAGAACACGCCAGGCAGGCTGCGGCCTTGGGGGCTTTACTCAGACGTGGGGAGGCTGCTGGGGGCGGGGCCTAGGGTGCTGTCCTGTCACCCCTTCAGCGGTACTGGGAGACCAACGCCGAGGTCACGTGGTGCAGGAACTTGTCCAGCGAGGCCTGCATGGCAGGACTGAAGTCCCCGGGGTAGTGGCGGGCCAGGGTCACCAGCAGGCAGTGGCAGAGGAGCTGCAGAGTACAGGGTCCTCAGCCCCCCAGCTTCCCGCACGGGGTGTCATCACCCCTAAACCCTGGCGGTAAGGAGGACCGTTCCTCCGGGACCTCACCTGGAAGTTGACGGGGTCCACCCTCAGCTTGCGCGCGTGCAGGTTGCTCAGCTCAGACAGCGCGCCCGGCAGGTCGTCTAGGTGGCCGACAGCGTGGGTGAGCGCGTCTGCCACCTTCCTGCCGTGGGCCTTGACCTGGGCCGACCCCGGGCTCAGGTCCAGGTGGGGGAAGTAGGTCTTGGTGGAGGGGAAGGCGAGGAAGGTCCTGCGGTGGAGAGGACAGTCGGCGGCCTCCCTGGGGCGGATGTCCGGGAGAAGGGGCGCCCCAGAGGAGGGTTCGGGGACGCGCCGAGCGGGTGGCCAGGGAGCCACACCCAGGGCAGCTGGGCAGGGCCTGTGCTCACCGCTCCAGGGCCTCGGTGGTGTAGATGCCCACGTTGTCGCCCATTTTCCGCCACAGCGCGCACACGGCCTCCCGCTCTGCCGCCGACAGCGCCATCGCGGACCGGGGCTGCGCGCTCCGCGTCCCAGCAGCGCGGCGCAGCCCGGGACGCAGCCAAGCGCCGCCCCGGAGGGCGCCCCGCCCAGACCGAGCCCCGCCCAGAGAGGGTCTCGGAGCGCACGCTCTCCCGCGTCGTAGTCGCCCCGGAGCCCGAGGTCCCGGTCGCTTTGAGGGTCCACCACAGAGGAAATAGCATCTAAAATGTGTGCTAAGAGACAGCCCTGGTTTTAGCCCGGATTTCGGCCGGGACGGGCGTTCGCCTGCGTCCCCTGACTGCCCCTCAGCACGTTTGCTCGCACGTCGTAAAGTGACCAGAGTTCCTTGCCGGGTCCATGTGCGAATTCAACGAAAATAGCTGTCAGGTGCTGTCTGGTTGCACTGGTTCCTTTCAGTGCAGTGGATACTTATTGAGGGCCTACCATGTACCCCAAAAACAAGAGCTAGCTGACACCCATGTAGCACACATTGGGGGCCAAACCCTACCCTAAACCTTACCAAAAACATGTGGTAAAATAGACCTAACCTAAAACTGGCCATCCAAACCGTTTAAGAGTGGCAGTTCTGTGGCGTGAAGCCCGCTCACTGTGGCATGCAGCCATCAACACTATGTAGCTTCAGAACTCTTTTCCTCCCACAGGAAACCCTGCACCCATTTAGACAGTCTCTCCCCAGGGCCCTAGCAACCACTCATTTCTGTCCTAATGGCTTTGCCTACTCTGGACATTACACGTGAATGGGCTCATCCGACGTGTGCCCCCTTTGTCTGGCTTCTTTCACACAGCAGTGTGAAATCAAGGTTCATATATGTTGTAGTGTGGATCAGGGCTTCGTTCCGTTCACGGCTGGGTGGCGTGGACAGAGCACAGTGTAGTAACCCATTCCTCAGTATGGCCACTTGGGCCATCTCTGCACTTTGCAAATCCCCCCCATTTTTCCTAATAAAAGAAGAATGCCTGCCCCTTCTTGGGGACTCATCAGGTACCACCATGGTACTGAGCCCTCACAGAGGAGGGAGCCTGCAGGAGTCTTGGACTTGGAAGAAAGGGCGCTGCCCTGGCAGGCCTGGGAGAGATGGCAGGTCCAGCACGCCCAAACTTTCCCTCAGATGTGCCACATGGACCTGCCCAGTGAGTAGAGAAGGACCAAGAGGTGTGGGCCCAACCGGGCCTCCAGGGTCCTGGTTCCCCTCTCCACTAGGGCATAGGTAGGTGCTAAGCTGGGCTCGAAAGTCAGGCACCAGGCTGCGATGGCTCAGGATGTCAGGAGGGACAGTTGTGGGGGTGGCAACAAGATAAAAGGGGCCCCTCCACAGGATTGCGTGGGCCCACAGGTGCTCATCCTGTCAAATTGTATGTAGACTGTGACAGTGTTCAGGAGGCTTTGGGGAGACTGATAGGCAGAGGCATCCAGGGTGACTCCCTACGGGGTGGCTGCTGTGTCCTCGACGTGGTCCAGCACAGGAGTCCCGCGAGATGCAAGGTCTGGGGTGGGCGACCATCATCTCCCAGCTCGAATGTGTGTGTGTGTGTGTGTGTGTGCGTGCGTGCTCGCGCAGTGAAGTATGAGGGCGGAATGAATTCAGTGAGCCTGCCTGTCCTGGGAGTAAAGGCGGGAAGGAGCCCTCCTGTGGGGGTGCTGTCCTGCACTCTCCCGGCGGCCCACCTCTCTGCTTCTCTCTCCCTGCCCCAGCCACCTCAGAGGGACGGCGGCCAAGCAGAGACCCCCACCCACCCCCGGCACATTCGCAGACACACACAGAGGCCAGGCCACACCAGGCTGCCACCCACTCAGACTTTATTCAAAGTCTCGGAGGCATGTGCAGGGAGGAAAAGGAAGGCCAGC